TGGTGAGGTGATGGTGAGGCGATGGTGAGTGGGGCGAGGCGATGGTGAGTGGGGCGAGGCGATGGTGAGTGGGGCGAGGCGATGGTGAGTGGGGCGAGGCGATGGTGAGTGGGGCGAGGTGATGGTGATGGTGAGTGGGGCGAGGTGATGGTGATGGTGAGTGGGGTATGGTGATGGTGAGTGGGGTGAGGTGATGGTGAGTGGGGTGAGGTGATGGTGAGTGGGGTGAGGTGATGGTGAGTGGGGTGAGGTGATGGTGAGTGGGGTGAGGTGATGGTGAGTGGGGTGAGGTGATGGTGAGTGGGGTGAGGTGATGGTGAGTGGGTGAGGTGATGGTGAGTGGGGTGAGGTGATGGTGAGTGGGGTGAGGTGATGGTGAGTGGGGTGAGGTGATGGTGAGTTGGGTGAGGCGATGGTGAGTGGGGTGAGGTGATGGTGAGGCGATGGTGAGTGGGGTGAGGTGATGGTGAGGTGATGGTGAGTGGGGTGAGGCGATGGTGAGTGGGGTGAGGCGATGGTGAGTGGGGTGAGGCGATGGTGAGGTGATGGTGAGTGGGGCGAGGTGATGGTGAGTGGGGGTGAGGTGATGGTGATGGTTGAGTGGGGTGAGGCGATGGTGAGTGGGGTGAGGCGATGGTGAGTGGGGTGAGGCGATGGTGAGGGTGATGGTGAGTGGGGCGAGTGATGGTGAAGGTGATGGTGATGGTGAGTGGGGTGAGGCGATGGTGAGTGGGGTGAGGCGAGGTGATGGTGAGTGGGGTGAGGGTGATGGTGAGGTGATGGTGAGTGGGGTGAGGTGATGGTGAGTGGGGTGAGGTGATGGTGAGTGGGGTGAGGTGATGGTGAGTGGGGTGAGGTGATGGTGAGGTGAGGTGAGGTGATGGTGAGTGGGGTGAGGTGATGGTGAGGCGATGGTGAGTGGGGGTGAGGTGATGGTGAGTGGGGTGAGGCGATGGTGAGGCGATGGTGAGTGGGGCGAGGCGATGGTGAGTGGGGTGAGGTGATGGCGAGTGGGGTGAGGTGATGGTGAGTGGGGCGATGGCGAGTGGGGCGAGGTGATGGTGAGTGGGGCGAGGCGATGGTGAGTGGGGTGAGGGTATGGTGATGGTGAGCGGGGTGAGGCGATGGTGAGCGGGGTGAGGTGATTGTGAGCGGGGTGAGGCGATGGTGAGCGGGGTGAGGTGATGGTGAGGTGATGGTGAGGCGATGGCGAGTGGGGTGAGGTGTTGGCGAGTGGAGTGAGGTGATGGTGAGTGGGGTGAGGTGATGGTGAGGCGATGGTGAGTGGGGTGAGGTGTTGGTGAGTGGGTGAGGCGATGGTGAGTGGGGTGAGGTGTTGGTGAGTGGGGTGAGGCGATAGTGACGGAGGCAGCCGAGCGGAATTCACGCGGACAAAATCCGCGCTCTGCAGCTGCAGCGAGACCCGCCTAGAGCCACACCCAGAGGGTCAGAGACACGGGGGGAGACAGAGACACGGGGGGAGACAGAGACACGGGGGGAGACAGAGACACGGGGGGAGACAGAGACACGGCGAGACAGAGACAGAGAGACACGGGGGGAGACAGAGAGACACGCCTAGAGGGTCAGAGACACGGGGCGAGGACAGAGACACGGGGGGGAGACAGAGAACGGGGGGGAGACAGAGACACGGGGGGGAGACAGAGACACGGGGGGGAGACAGAGACACGGGGGGGAGACAGAGACACGGGGGGGAGACAGAGACACGGGGGGGAGACAGAGACACGGGGGGGAGACAGAGACACGGGGGGGAGACAGAGACACGGGGGGGAGACAGAGACACGGGGGGGAGACAGAGACACGGGGGGGAGACAGAGACACGGGGGGGAGACAGAGACACGGGGGGGAGACAGAGACACGGGGGGGAGACAGAGACACGGGGGGGGAGACAGAGACACGGGGGGGAGACAGAGACACGGGGGGGAGACAGAGACACGGGGGGGAGACAGAGACACGGGGGGGAGACAGAGACACGGGGGGGGAGACAGAGACACGGGGGGGAGACAGAGACACGGGGGGGAGACAGAGACACGGGGGGGAGACAGAGACACGGGGGGGAGACAGAGACACGGGGGGGAGACAGAGACACGGGGGGAGACAGAGACACGGGGGGGAGACAGAGACACGGGGGGGAGACAGAGACACGGGGGGGAGACAGAGACACGGGGGGGAGACAGAGACACGGGGGGAGACAGAGACACGGGGGGAGACAGAGACACGGGGGGAGACAGAGACACGCCTAGAGCCACGCCCAGAGGGTCAGAGACACGGGGGGACGGAGGGACAGAGACACGGCGAGACAGAGACACGGTGGGAGACAAAGCCACGGGGGGACAGAGACACGCTGAGACAAACGGTGTCTGTCTCTGTTATTGCAAACGGAGATCGAAAAAGTTGTGGGGCGAATTCAGAGAGAGATACAATGGAGATTGGGACTCACAGGGGAACATCTACCACAACCACCAACACCACCACAACCATCTACCACAGCCACCAACCACAACCACCACCACCACCACATCACCAGGTGAGCGAGCTCTCGCCCTCACCTGGCGCCCCCGAGATACGCAACCCAAGGCGGAGCCTGGATCGTGCTGGATGGGCGACCACTGTGCATGAGCCGGGTGCCATAGGCCGCGCTGGTGGGCAGCAGAGAAGCGATGCAGCCAACGCCACTGTTGGACTGCACTTCTGCGCTCCCGCGTCGATGCTGAACACCGCGTGACCACCGCCAGCAGCGGCGCGCGCGGCGACCTGCGTGGCCAGGCGTGGTCTAAGGTGGTGAAGTTGGTCTAAGGTGGTGAAGTTGGTCTAAGGTGGTGAAGCGTGGTCTAAGGTGGTGAAGTGCGGTCTAAGGTGGTGAAACGTGGTCTAAGGTGGTGAAGTTGGTCTAAGGTGGTGAAGTTGGTCTAAGGTGGTGAAGTTGGTCTAAGGTGGTGAAGCGTGGTCTAAGGTGGTGAAGCGCGGTCTAAGGTGGTGAAGCGCGGTATAAGGTGGTGAAGTTGGTCTAAGGTGGTGAAGCGTGGTCTAAGGTGGCGAAGTGCGGTCTAAGGTGGTGAAGCGTGGTCTAAGGTGGTGAGTTGGTCTAAGGTGGTGAAGTTGGTCTAAGGTGGTGAAGCGCGGTATAAGGTGGTGAAGTCGGTCTAAGGTGGTGAAGCGTGGTCTAAGGTGGTGAAGTGCGGTCTAAGGTGGTGAAGCGTGGTCTAAGGTGGTGAAGTTGGTCTAAGGTGGTGAAGCGTGGTCTAAGGTGGTGAAGTGTGGTCTAAGGTGTGAAGTGTGGTCTAAGGTGGGAAGCGTGGTCTAAGGTGGTGAAGTGCGGTCTAAGGTGGTGAAGCGTGGTCTAAGGTGAAGTGCGGTCTAAGGTGGTGAAGTGCGGTCTAAGGTGAAGCGTGGTCTAAGGTGGTGAAGCGTGGTCTAAGGTGGTGAAGCGTGGTCTAAGGTGGTGAAGTGCGGTCTAAGGTGAAGCGTGGTCTAAGGTGGTGAAGCGTGGTCTAAGGTGGTGAAGTGCGGTCTAAGGTGAAGTGTGGTCTAAGGTGGTGAAGCGTGGTCTAAGGTGGTGAAGTGCGGTCTAAGGTGAAGCGTGGTCTAAGGTGGTGAAGTGCGGTCTAAGGTGAAGCGTGGTCTAAGGTGAAGTGTGGTCTAAGGTGGTGAAGCGTGGTCTAAGGTGAAGTGTGGTCTAAGGTGAAGTGTGGTCTAAGGTGAAGCGTGGTCTAAGGTGAAGTGCGGTCTAAGGTGAAGTGTGGTCTAAGGTGAAGCGTGGTCTAAGGTGAAGTGTGGTCTAAGGTGGTGAAGCGTGGTCTAAGGTGAAGTGCGGTCTAAGGTGAAGTGCGGTCTAAGGTGAAGTGCGGTCTAAGGTGAAGTGCGGTCTAAGGTGAAGTGTGGTCTAAGGTGAAGTGCGGTCTAAGGTGAAGTGTGGTCTAAGGTGGTGAAGCGTGGTCTAAGGTGGTGAAGCGTGGTCTAAGGTGAAGTGCGGTCTAAGGTGAAGTGCGGTCTAAGGTGAAGTGTGGTCTAAGGTGAAGTGTGGTCTAAGGTGAAGCGTGGTCTAAGGTGAAGCGTGGTCTAAGGTGAAGTGCGGTCTAAGGTGAAGCGTGGTCTAAGGTGAAGCGTGGTCTAAGGTGAAGTCGGTCTAAGGTGAAGTCGGTCTAAGGTGGTGAAGTCGGTCTACGGAGGCAAAGGGGACCCGTGTAGCCTCCAGACAGCTGGTTTGGGGAAAGTTGCCGTGAACAAGGCCGCTGGGCTGCCGACAGCAACCACGCCCGGCCGCCTTTGTCTTCCCAGCGCCGGCGCGTTACGCATCATGAGCCGGGCCACACGCGTTATACAGAGGGACGAGTAGACCAAGGGTGGCTACCCAGGTTATGGGATTCGTCGCCTCTTTGATGGCCGTGAGCGGGATTCGAACTCGGGACACCAATACGGACCGTCGGTTCAGTGCGCTAACCATTGCGCCACCGCTCTCCATCGAGTTCGTTCAATGCAACATTAAAAACGCACACGTATGTACTGTATATGTATGTTGGACTTATTTCGCACCGTACGTAGCCAACCGTGCTAATCGGAGGTGCGGTGTGTGGGTGGGATAAACTCCACACACAGACCAGCGAGACGCGTCCGTGGCCATGCCACCACAAACCGTGGCTCGCCAGAGAGAGAGACAGAGAGAGAGTGAGACAGAGAGAGAGACAGAGAGAGAGACAGAGAGAGCTCACCGTGGCTCAGAGTCCGAGACGCGCAGGACACTAAAGCGAGGCCACAGTCGCGCCAGTGCGCCCAGAGCAACCCACACCCGCAGGCGGGAGAGCGACACGACAACTCGCCGTGACGAGCGCAGCAGCAGCAGCAGACCTCATCAGTGGCATCGACCTCCTCCCGAACAACAACATCATCATCATAAACAACATCAACATCATCATCAACATCGCTGCTGCTGCTGCTGCTCCGACTGGCATCGTGCCCGCGAGGAGACCGCGCGCGCAGCGCACCGTAGCTGGGTGCTTGGAGGCGAGTAGGAGGACTGGACGAGCCGGAGGAGGCGAAGACTCGACGAGGGAGGCGGATGAACCGGTCTGGAAAATAGTTGAGCGGCACGGAAATTGTTCAATTTATGTCGAGGAGCGGTGGGATGCGGTGACCAACGGCGAGGCGGAGAGGTGCGGTGGGCGGGGAATCCATCACGATCGATTTGCTCTCCTCCCTCCCCCCGCCACACCCTGCCCCCCCCCCCCCACACACTCACTCACCGCAGTAAACCTGCCTCTCCCCTCTCATCTCACTCCACTCCCCTCCACGCTCTCTCCTGCCTCTCCCCTCTCATCTCACTCCACTCCCCTCCACGCACTCTCCTGCCTCTCCCCTCTCATCTCACTCTACTCCCCTCCACGCACTCTCCTACCTCTCCCCTCTCATCTCACTCCACTACCTCCACGCACTCTCCCCTCTCATCTCACTCTACTCCCCTCCACGCACTCTCCTACCTCTCCCCTCTCATGTCACTCCACTCCACGCACTCTCCTGCCTCTCCCCTCTCATCTCGCTCCACTCCCCTCCACGCACTCTCCTGCCTCTCCCCTCTCATCTCACTCCACTCCCCTCCACGCACTCTCCTGCCTCTTCCCACTCATCTCGCTCCACTCCCCTCCACGCACTCTCCCCTCTCATCTCACTCCACTCCACGCACTCTCCTGCCTCTCCCCTCTCATCTCACTCCACTCCCCTCCACGCACTCTCCCCTCTCATCTCACTCCACTCCACGCACTCTCCTACCTCTCCCCTCTCATCTCACTCCACTCCCCTCCACGCACTCTCCCCTCTCATCTCGCTCCACTCCCCTCCACGCACTCTCCCCTCTCATCTCACTCCACTCCCCTCCACGCACTCTCCCCTCTCATCTCACTCCACTCCACGCACTCTCCTACCTCTCCCCTCTCATCTCACTCCACTCCCCTCCACGCACTCTCCCCTCTCATCTCACTCCACTCCACGCACTCTCCTACCTCTCCCCTCTCATCTCACTCCACTCCCCTCCACGCACTCTCCCCTCTCATCTCACTCCACTCCACGCACTCTCCTGCCTCTCCCCTCTCATCTCACTCCACTCCCCTCCACGCACTCTCCCCTCTCATCTCACTCCACTCCACGCACTCTCCTGCCTCTCCCCTCTCATCTCACTCCACTCCCCTCCACGCACTCTCCCCTCTCATCTCACTCCACTCCACGCACTCTCCTACCTCTCCCCTCTCATCTCACTCCACTCCCCTCCACGCACTCTCCCCTCTCATCTCACTCCACTCCACGCACTCTCCTGCCTCTCCCCTCTCATCTCACTCCACTCCCCTCCACGCACTCTCCCCTCTCATCTCACTCCACTCCACGCACTCTCCTACCTCTCCCCTCTCATCTCACTCCACTACCTCCACGCACTCTCCCCTCTCATCTCACTCTACTCCCCTCCACGCACTCTCCTACCTCTCCCCTCTCATCTCACTCCACTCCCCTCCACGCCTCTCCTGCCTCTCCCCTCTCATCTCGCTCTACTCCCCTCCACGCACTCTCCTACCTCTCCCCTCTCATCTCACTCCACTCCACGCACTCTCCTACCTCTCCCCTTTCATCTCACTCCACTCCCCTTTCATCTCACTCCACTCCCCTCCACGCACTCTCCTACCTCTCCCCTTTCATCTCACTCCACTCCCCTCCACGCACTCTCCCACCTCTCCCCTCTCATCTCGCTCTACTCCCCTCCACGCACTCTCCTACCTCTCCCCTCTCATCTCACTCCACTCCCCTCCACGCACTCTCCTACCTCTCCCCTCTCATCTCACTCCACTCCCCTCCACGCACTCTCCTACCTCTCCCCTCTCATCTCACTCTACTCCCCTCCACGCACTCTCCTACCTCTCCCCTCTCATCTCGCTCTACTCCACGCACTCTCCTGCCTCTCCCCTCTCATCTCACTCCACTCCCCTCCAGACACTCTCCCCTCTCATCTCACTCCACTCCCCTCCATGCACTCTCCTACCTCTCCCCTCTCATCTCACTCCACTCCCCTACAGACACTCTCCCCTCTCATCTCGCTCTACTCCCCTCCACGCACTCTCCTGCCTCTCCCCTCTCATCTCACTCCACTCCCCTACAGACACTCTGCGAGACTCACCCCTCCCTCTGCCCCACGCCTCTATTGGCGAGCGGCGTTGTCATTCCTTATTGATGGAAGCTGCACAGAGAGAATTCTTTAGACATTGTACAGTAAACATGACTTCAGGAAGTGCAATGAATTGCAGATAACCCAAACCAAAAGTTGCCAAATAAAAAAAATGACACCGCAAATTACTCAAATTGATCGTTCCATTGGGGGGTCACTGCACCCAAAAAAACCGGCAAAATCCCGAGTTCGATTCCAGGCCACGGCTGACATCAGTGGCGAGCGACGTCTGGACCGCTGCTGGAGGGTTTCCCAGAATATCGACTCGAACCCTGAACCAGGCAGCAACTGGCGTGTCAACGTCAGCACGGTGGGGAGACAAAGGCGGCCGGCCGGGCGTGGTCCAGGCCACCGTCTTCTTCACCGGTGCCCTCGAACGGCACCGCCCCCTCCTACGGCGTCAGCAGCGCAGTCCAACACGGCGGATCTTTGTCATGAGCAGTGAGACAATGGGGTCGCGTGAGACAATGGGGTCGCGTGAGACAATGGGGTCGCGTGAGACAATGGGGTCGCGTGAGACAATGGGGTCGCGTGAGACAATCTTTGTCTTCCTCAGGCCGAAGCAAACCACGACCCCTCCAGCCCCCCCCCCCACGTCCCCCAGGTGGACTCTTGGGTCCAGCGCTGTTAGCGAGCGCCTATTAAGGCCGGGCACGGCCTACCCACACAAGGGGCGATGTAGGCCAAGTAACCACCACCCGGCCGCCTTTGTCTCCCCCAGGTGGTTTACACACGTAGTGAGTAGTACACACCACGTAGTCAGTAGTACACACCACGTAGTCAGTAGTACACACCACGTAGTCAGTAGTGTACACCACGTAGTCAGTAGTGTACACCACGTAGTCAGTAGTACACACCACGTAGTCAGTAGTGCACACCACGTAGTCAGTAGTACACACCACGTAGTCAGTAGTACACACCACGTAGTCAGTAGTACACACCACGTAGTCAGTAGTGCACACCACGTAGTCAGTAGTACACACCACGTAGTCAGTAGTGTACACCACGTAGTCAGTAGTACACACCACGTAGTCAGTAGTGTACACCACGTAGTCAGTAGTACACACCACGTAGTCAGTAGTGCACACCACGTAGTCAGTAGTACACACCACGTAGTCAGTAGTGTACACCACGTAGTCAGTAGTACACACCACGTAGTCAGTAGTGCACACCACGTAGTCAGTAGTGTACACCACGTAGTCAGTAGTACACACCACGTAGTCAGTAGTACACCCCACGTAGTCAGTAGTGCACACCACGTAGTCAGTAGTGCACACCACGTAGTCAGTAGCGCACACCACGTAGTCAGTAGCACACACCACGTAGTCAGTAGTACACACCACGTAGTCAGTAGTGTACACCACGTAGTCTGTAGTGCAGGGTGGGACGATGCGGCCTGCAGGGTGGGACTGGGTTCGGTCACCCCCTGGCCGAGCTGCTGCTGCTATTGCTGCTGCTACTGCTACTGCTGCTGCTGATCGGCGCGATGGGCCTGAGCAGCGGGGGGCCACGGTACGAGTCGGAACTCGACTCGGATCGGAACGCGACTCGGAACTCGCCCTTCACGGCCTCGTTGTGGCCGGAGGTCATCAGCAAGAGCGGCCAACCGGCGAGCCGCCGCCGCCACGTGCCGCCGCCGCCACGTGCCGCTCTTTTGCTCCCCACGACGGGAATCCAAAATCCTCTTGGCCCCCCCCCCCCCCCCCCCCGCGGCCGGGCTGCCCCGGCTATCAGCTCTCCGAGGGGTGCGTCGTTGTTCCGGTCGTAACCCATGTCCGACGTTTCGCCGCCACGTCGCCCGGTGGGTGTGCCAGGAGGGGAGAGCGGCTCCCGAAGAGGCCGCCGCAAGCCTGGAGTTCCCGCGTCTCTCCCTCTCTCCCCGTGGTGGTCGCGTGGACTTTCCTCCCGGTCCTCCACATTTAGAATCAACGTCGAGCGTTCGTCGAGCATTTGGCTGCGATGAATGTCCACACGATGGTGACGAGCCGCTCCGTTCGAGCTGTCATTTGTGACAGCCAGGGTCGCTTCTGGAACAGAGCTACGTGGCAGTGGTGGCGTTATACCTGGAATTTATTTTTATAGTTTAGTAGATTCACGTGCCGATTCATCAGCGGGGAAAACATTTGTTTGAACCGTTGCTCACGCAAGGCCCCCGGCTCATCGACCACCCGAGATTAAAGTCGCAGCTGCAGGACTCCACACCAACAGCAGCCACGCGAACAATGAGACGGATCTGTCCACTTTCGTCTCGCTCGCGGCCTCTCTCGATTAAACGCGCTGTCAAGAAAGGCCATCGCCCGAAAAACGTAGTTTTTAATTTTGAAGGCCACGCGCGCACACGCGGCGTTGGTATCGACACGGTGATCGCCAAACACAGTCGCCGCCGCCGCCGATATCATTTGGAAGAGCGACACGGTCCGATCTTTGGCGACGAGGTTAACGACGGACCGCGTCGACTCACCGCGGACTCGCCGCGCAACACCTGAAGACTCGACGGCCGGTAACGGTGGTGCACACTTGAACCCGTCCTGGGCTCCCCCTAGGTTGATTCAGCCTCAAATAAGGACCTGGTGCAGTGTGAAGTCAACATCACCGCTGAAGGCGGCCCACGCGTGATGCTGCCCACCCACCACCCTCTCTTGTGCCGTTCCGGCCAAATTGCCCCACGAGTCTGTAAAGGCTACACGGGGGATCTTTGTCTTGTTTATGCTCCCACAAACCCCGAGGAATTATCACCCAGGAACCTAACAAAACGGATTTGCAAAAGTTCCCCATGACCATGAGTTGACCCCGACTATAAGTTGACCCTGACTATAAGTTGACCCCGACTATAAGTTGACCCCGACTATAAGTTGACCCTGACTATAAGTTGACCCCGACTATAAGTTGACCCCGACTATAAGTTCACCCCGACTATAAGTTCACCCCAACTATAAGTTGACCCCGACCAATACAATTTCAGCTTTGATTGTGAACCGAAGGTGCATCCTGAGCTTCCAGCGTCGTTGTCCACCCAGCGGTGGAGCCGTCTCCACCCAGCGGTGGAGACGGCTTCACCGCACTCGGGTCGATCGGCGGGTCGCGCACACGGTGGGCGAGAGCATGGGCGACTCCTCCGAGACGTGCTGGCCAGCGTGGAGGAGTAGGCCAAGAACAACCCTCTGGTCAGGAGGGGTTCTCCCTCGAGGTTCTCCCTCGAGCGGAGGGGACCCCTTCCGCCACGGGGCTGCGCCTTTCGCTTTCGTACCCCATCCCGGACGCGATCCGCCGACCCCCGCTAAGCGAGACTCTCCGCAATCGTGGCGCGAGAGCTTTGTAACAACAAAATTACAAAAAAATTCCGGGCAAAAGCCGCGACCGCCGCCCTCTCTTAGCAACGAGAAACGTCGCTTAGCACCAAGCGGCCCTGGCGAGGCGTCTCCTGGCGCAGCATCTTCCCACTGCGCGTCCGAGCCGGCGCCGCTCAGGTGGAGCCGGCGTTGTTTTACCACCACAAAAAACCGTGCCGGGCTGAGCCGGGCCGTGCCGGGCCGTGCCGCAGACGTCACGGGCGTGCGGAGATTGAGCGGAGACGCGCGTGGGTGACGCGGTGAGCGCGCCGGCGCGCCATAACCGCGGAACCGACCGGCGTCGCCCGCACGGCCCTATCCCTGCCCCCTGGCCCTGCTTGCCCCCCAACACAGATTGATGGCGAATTGCGGTTTGGCTCCGGCTCGGCTCGGATGGTGCCAGTGGAAAAGAGATGTTGGAGGAGGAGGAGGAGGGGGAGGGGGGAGGAAGAGGAGGAGCCAAGGTCACTTGGGTGAATAAAGTTTTGGTTTGAGAGCGGTTCTTTGGTTTTCCGTGCGAACTCGCCAGCGGTGTCTGGAGCACGTTGACGCTCGTGCTGGGGTCCGGGGGACGTGAAGATTCCCAGCCCCCTCCCTCCCTCCCCCCGGTGAGGGGAGAGAGAGAGAGGGGACACGCTGGGAGGGCGCCATCCAGCAGCGGAGGGGGGCGCCGGTCGCCCGCCGCTGTCCCGTGGCCACCTACGTGGCCTCGGCGTAGAATGCGTCCACCACCTCCTGGTAGAGCCGCAGCACCACCGGCCGCCTGAGCTTCATGGTGGGGCCTGTGGGGCAGCGGGACAGAGGGGCGGGCAGTCAGGACTCACCCACTCACCCACCCACTCACCCACCCACTCACCCACCCACTCACGCACACACAGCCTCATGCACACACCCCCTCACCCATCCACTCACCCATCTGCTCATCCACTTACCCACTTACCCACCTACTCGCTCATCCACTTACCCAATCACCCACCTACTCACCCACCTACTCGCGCACACACCCCCTCATGCACACACACCCTCACCCATCCACTCACCCATCCACTCACCCATCCACTCACCCATCCACTCACCCATCCACTCACCCATCCACTCACCCACTCGCTCATCCACTCACCCACTCACCCGCTCACCCACTCACCCACTCAACCAGCCACCCACTCACCCACCAACTTACTCACCCACCCACTTACTCACCCACCCACTTACCCACTCACCCACTCATCACCCACTCACTCACTCACCCACCCACCCACTCACTCACCCCCCACCCACTCATCTACTGACTCACCCACCCACTTACCCACTCACCCACTCATCACCCACTCACTCACCCACCCACCCACCCACTCACCCCCCACCCACTCATCTACTGACTCACCCACCCACTCACTCGCCCATAAACCAGGGGCGGTGCAGGCAGCAGCGGGGGTTGGCGGATCACCGCACCAACATCGTGAAACAAACTCCCTACCCCGTGGGCGTCGAGGAGGAGCCGTACACTGGCTCGCCGGGTGAAGGCGGCACAGCAAAGTGCGGACTAATCTCCATCTGTCCCGTCTGTATGGGATATAGTGTTGCCCCCTTGCATGTGCGAGTTTTCTCCGGGTACTCCGGTTTCCTCCCACGCCGATAAAGAGCTCGTTAATTGTCGGAAAACATCTCCATACGTAGGGGGCCGCAGAGCTTGGGTGAGCGTTGGTAGCAGCGGCTCACCACGTGGCTGACATTCCTCCTCGTGCCTCTCACTTCCAGGGTGAGCGACTGCCGTGTGGTGGCCGTGTGGTGCAAGTGGGAATCGCTGATATTATTATCACTGTTAGGTGGCTCAGAGGTCACGGACACTGTGGGTCAGTGGGTGGGTGAGTGGGTAAATGGGTAAGTGAGTGTGTGAGTGGGTGTGTGAGTGAGTGGGTGGGTGAGTGAGTGGGTGGGTGAGTGAATGAGTGTGTGGGTGGGTGAGTGAATGAGTGTGTGAGTGGGTGGGTGAGTGAATGAGTGTGTGAGTGGGTGAGTTTGAGTGAGTGGGTGGGTGAGTGAGTGGGTGGGTGGGTGGGTGAGTGGGTGGGTGGGTGGGTGGGTGGGTGGGTGGGTGAGTGGGTGGGTGGGTGGGTGGGTGGGTGGGTGGGTGAGTGAGTGGGTAGGTGGGTGGGAGAGTGAGTGAGTGGGTGGGTGGGTGAGTGGGTGAGTGGGTGGGTGGGTGGGTGAGTGAGTGGGTGGGTGGGTGAGTGAGTGGGTGGGTGATTGAGTGGGTGGGTAATTGAGTGGGTGGGTGATTGAGTGGGTGGGTGGAAAAGCCGGGAGAGAGCGGGAGAGGTGAGGGAGAGACGAGGGGAGGGCCGCCCCGCTCACCGAGTTCCCCCCCGGAAACCGTGAAGTCGTGGGGGATGAGGGCCCACTTCTGCACGCGCTGGGCGTTGGAGATGGCGGCGCGGTTGACACGCTCTATCCCCTGCTGGATGGCGGCCAGCACTGCCGCGTCACCGGCACTGCCACGGCCGCCCAGCGCGGGCGCCACCTGCGCGGCCGCGGCAAGATCGTCGCCATCATCGTCGCCACCATTGCCGACATCGTCACCATCCACATCATCATCGTCGTCGACATTGTCGCCATCGTCCACATCGTCGCTATCGTCGACATCATCATCGCCACCATCATTGTCATCGACATCGTCACCATCGTCGTCATCATCTCCACCACCAGCGCCACCCACAGGGGTGAGGCCCACGGCTCCAGAGCGCCACCTCGTGGCTGCCACCCACAGCGGCTCGCAGACTCGGAACCTGGCATCCCCCCAGCACCCACCCCCCCGTGCCCCCACCCCCCGTGCCCCCCCCCGTGCCCCCATTCCCCCGTGCCCCCATCCCCCCGTGCCCTCACCTGCGAGGCGAGGGTGGCGCTGCTCCCCGCCGAGCGGCAGAACTGCACGGCCTCGGGGCTCAGCTGGTCCCCCGGCTCGCCCGTGTCGGGGTCCGCCGAGCACTGCACCACACACAGACAAAGGTCCCCCGTGTAGCCCACGCCGGCACGACGCACACCGGGGTGGGCGACCCTCGTCGTCACCGCGGGCCCGCCCGGCTCCCCGTGCCGACGCCGACGCACCGCACCCGATACTCGTCCAAGCGTCACCGGCGTCGGCCGCGAGCGGGAATCGACCTCGGGTTCACCGGTTCCTGGCGCTTAGCGCTAACCGCCGTGCCGCCGCTCCACCCACACACTTGGAACAACGCGCGAACGCAGCGACGACGACAACCGCCATATGCCGCGAAGTGGCGGTGACGTCACCACAGCGCTTCGTGCCAGGCTAGGTGCACTTCGCGCGAAGTGAGGCTGCCAACAGGGAGCTCCGGCCGTAGGCACGCTGCCCAGGCGGCGCGATCTTCTCCACTCCCTCTGCAGCCGCCCCGTCGTTCACGGGGAGTCGAGGCACGGGGGGGGAGCAGCGGCTGATGACCACAAATACCCAGGCAGGTGCTTTGCTTTTTGTGCGACCGGTGGGTAAGGCCCCGTGTCCCTTCGCTGCAGCCCTTCAGGCTCAGCGGTTGCACCTACGGCGTCTTCTCAGAGTGCGCAGCAGCCAGCAGAGAATCCGCATGCAACAAAAAACACATCCCCCCCCCCCCCCCCCGGTAGCCGTAACAGTCTGTCGGGGCAAGTGCTGTCAGCGAGCACCGATCAAGGCCGGCACGGCACGCGAGGGGGCGGGTGGCCAGCACCACGCCCGGCCGCCTTTGTCTCCCGATGTTTACACACCGCACCAGGTACTCATTTGAAGCTGAGTCGACCTAGGGGAGGCTCAGGACCGGTTCAGATAATCGTCACCGGTGTTGGCCATGAGCGGGATTCGAACTCGGGACGCCGGGTTCGTAGCGCGAACCGCTGCACAACTGCTCCCTGATCCACACGCACACAGACACAGACAATCGACACACACACAGATAATCGACGCACACACACACACAGACACACAGACACACAACAGACAATCGACACACACACACAGACACACAGAAACACACAGACAATCGACACACACACAGATAATCGACGCACACACACACACAGACACACAGACACACAACAGACAATCGACACACACACACAGAAACACACAGACAATCGACACACACACACAGACAATCGACACACACACACAGACACACAGACAATCGACACACACACACACAGACACACAGACAATCGACACACACACAGACACACAGAAACACACAGACAATCGACACACACACACAATCGACACACACGCACACACAGACACACAGAAACACACAGACAATCGACACACACACACAGACAATCGACACACACAATCGACACACACGCACACACACACACACACACACAATCGACACACACACACAGACAACCGACACTCACGGGGTAGCACATTCGCGACTTGCTACAGAGCTTCGCGGTTCGAATCCAGCAGCTGTTCTGGTGACTGCCGCGTGGCATGAACGGCGTAAATACCACGCGCCCTCTCGCTCGCTCGCAGCGGGACGCGAAGGAATTTGCCAAATTGTAAAATGACTCCAAGTGGGGTCACACGGCACCAGCGGCGGTGGCGGCAGCACCGCCGCCCTGCAGGCCGCGTCTGTGGAGCACAGCAGCAGCAGCATCTCGCTTGTGCGCTGCGAGGGTGATTCGTCACCGTAGCACCCAGACCACGTGCCCTCGTGATGGAGAGGGCGGGTGAGCGAGTGGATGAATGGGTGATTAAGGAACAGTGAGTGAGCGGTTGGGTGATTGAGTGAACGAATGAGTGATGAGTGAGTGACTGGGTGGTTGAGTGGTTGAGTGATCAGCTGGGCGAGTGAGTGGGTGGATGAGTGACTCTTTTCCCCTCTGTCAAAAACAACAGCAGCAGCAGCAGCGCCTCCCCTCCTGGCGATCGCCCTGCACTCTGGTAACCATCGCTCCCGCACCACATGGTAACCATCGCTCCCGTACCACATGGTAACCATCGCTCCCGTACCACATGGTAACCATCGCTCCCGCACCACATGGACTAAATCGTTGTTATTATTATTATTATCCGCCCATCCGTGTGTGCGTCCACCCCCCCCCCGCGCCCCGCCCCCACCTTGAGCGTGAGCAGCATGGAGAGGAACTTTCGCTTGTCTCCGATCACCATGGCGAAGGAGACGATCGGCAGCGCCTCCTTTGCCGCATCCTCAATGGGCACGGGCGCCACGTTCTCGCCGCCCGCCGTGATGATGAGCTCTGCCGCGACGAGGTGATGGACGGGAGAGGAGGGGGAGGAGGAGGGGGGGGGGACATCCGACTCGTCAACACAAACGGCATCGAACACCTTTTAGCTCCTCTTGACCGCACCTCCGATTAGCACAGTTGGCTACGTACGGTGTGAAAGAAATTCAACATACACACATACAAACCAGTCAATGGAACCGCAGCGACGCCCGCGAACCAGCGAATGGTATCGCAGCGAAGTGCGGGCAAGCGGGGCGGTACGGGGGGGGTGGGGGGCAGCACCTTTGAGGCGGACCGGTGATGAAGACAAAGCCTTCCTCGTCGATCCGGCCCAGATCACCCGAGTGGAGCCAGCCTTCGGAGTCCAGGGCGTCGTGCGTCATCGCCTCCTGGCCCAGGTAGCCCATGAAGACGTTCCGCCCCCAGAAGCAGAGCTCGCCGCACCCCTCCGCGTCCGGCAAGGCGAGCCGCGTGCGGCAGCCGAACATTGACTTGCCGCAGCTACGCGGGCGGAGACGAGGCGGAGGAGCGGGGTGGGTGGTGGGGGGTGGTAGGAGAGGAGACGCGAGGAGGCAAGGGGAGACGTGGGGGAGATGGAGGAGACATGGGGAGACGTGGAGAGACACAGTGAGACACAGGGGAAGGAATAAGAGACACATGGAGACATGGCTCTGCCGGGAGAAGGCGCGACAGCAATGATGTGGACTCTGCCTGTCCAGTCTGTGCGGGGATATAGCGTTGCCCCCTTGCATGCATGTGTTTTCTCCGGGTGCTCCGGTTTCCTCCCACGTGAATACACTCATATACTAGCCGACACCATCTTGACATACAGAGGACTGCAGAACTGGGGCAGTTGTTGGCACCGGCTCCTTCCCACCTGCCTGCGGTCCCACCTCTGAGTCGGCCTCAGAGGTGCGAGGAGGGGGTATCCCCCGTGGCCTCGTCACGCTGGGCGATGCCGAGTCACGGGGCTCCGCCGTGAGCACGCGAGGTTGTCCGCGCGTTTGTGGCGGGACACGCAGGGCAAAACGAAATGCAATACAGGGACTCCTCTGCTTTAGTATAAATACGTGTTGATTTTGATTCATGTTGTTTTTTTCTGACTTTATGTGAACGAAAAGACACCAATTAGCCCGTTTTCTCATTGAAAATAGGTACATTTCAAACTATCACTGTCCTGGTCACAAAAGCAAAGTTTGTGGCGTATAATAGCCATTTTTAATATACTTTTTAGGCATAAGCAATTAGGAAATAACACTTACTACCCAGGAACAAAATAGTGTTACGTAGTGTTTGTGTGTGTACCTGTGTGTGTGTGTGTGTGTAGGGGGCGGTCGAAAGCGGTTAGCGGCAACCCGAGTTTGATTCCTCGCTGGCCTCCCCTAGGTTGACTCAGCCTCAAAATGAGTACCTGGTGTGGTCTGTAAAATACATCGCCACTGGGCAGGCAAAGGCAGTCGGGCGTGGTGCTGGCCTCTCACCCCCTCGTGTGCTGTGCCAACCTTCATTCGGTGCTCGCTAACAGCACTTGCCCCGACAGTCTGTTAAGGCTATAAAGGGGATATTTGTCTTTGTAGGGAGGGGTGGAGTAGCGGTTAGCACACTGCGCTACGAACGCGGCGATCCCCTCACGACCAACAACACCCAGTGACGATTATCTGAACAACCGGTCCTGGGCCTCCCCTAGGTCGACTTGGCCTCAAACGAGTACCCGGTGCGGTGTGTAAACATCGCCACTGGGGAGACAAAGGCGGCCGGGGAGTGGCGATGGCCACCCACCCCCTCGTGCCACAGTGCCAGGCCTCCATAGGCACTGCTCGCCAACATCGCCCGGGCCCCGACAGCGCACGACGCGTCCCCCGCTCACCTGGTGAGGCGGCACCGAGCGCCACGCGTCCCCCGCTCACCTGGTGAGGCGGCAGGCCGTGGCCGTGGAGAGCGTGTGAGGGCCCGAGCTCTCGCTCATGCCGTACAGCTCGAGCATGGCCATGTCGAGGCTGAGGAAGAACTCGAGCGTCTCCCGCGAGGCCGGCGCAGCGCCCACGTAGAGCCGCCCGCAGCGCCCCAGGCCCAGCGCCGCGCGCACCCTGCGGAACACCAGCGCGCTCGCCAGCCCGTAGCCCCACGGCAACGAGCCCTCGCTGGCGGGGGGGGGGAGCGATGGGGGGGAGGGGGGGTGGGCAATGATGGCAGAGTTAGACACTTGAGTTCGATAGTTAAGTTAATCTTGATTTGAAGCTTTCGTGACTGCAGGGATCCATAGTCTTTGGTTCCTTCGGTAAAGTCACGTAGGTAGAAAATAAAATAAATCACGACGTTTCGATTGCAACACAAGCAATCATCATCAGGTGGGAAAATCACAGCAAGAAAAAAAATGTTTTTGCTGAAGTGTGAGAGAGATGCCGTGGTAAGAGGTACCCAGTTGAGTATCGAATATCTGAACCGGTCATGGGAGGGGCCCATGACCGATTCAGATATTCGTCACTGGTGTTAGTGGCCTGTGTGCTGGAATTGAACTCGGGATGTCCAGATTTGTAGCGCAGCGTCCCGAACCGCGACACCACTGCTCCCCACGAAGACAAAGATCCCCCGTGTAGCCTGTGACAGGCTGTTGGTCCCCCGTGTAGCCTGTGACAGGCTGTTGGTCCCCTGTGTAGCCTGTGACAGGCTGTTGGTATAGTTTCTGTTAGCGAGCACCTGTGAAGGCCGGCACGGCACGGTGGGTTGCCAGCACCACGCCTGACCACCTCTGCCTCCCCAGTGGCGATGTTTTTTACACACCGCACCAGGTACTCATTTGAGGCTGAGTCGACCTAGGGGAGTCCCAGGACCGGTTCAGCTATTCGTCAATGGTGTTGGTGGCCGTGAGCGGGAATCCAACTCCGGGTTCGTAAGCGCAGCGTGGCAGCTAACCGTTACACACGCACGCAGATTCGTGCGCACACACACACGCACAGACACACACACAGACACGTGCGCGCACACACACGCACAGACACGTGCGCACACACACGCAAAGACATGTGCGCACACACACGCACAGACACGTGCGCGCACACACACGCACAGACACGCGCGCACACACGCATAGACACACGCACAGACACGTGCACACAGACACGCACAGACACGTGCGCGCACACACACGCACAGACACGTGCGCGCACACACACGCACAAACACGTGCGCACACACACACGCACAGACACGTGCGCGCACACACACGCACAAACACGTGCGCACACACACACGCACAGACACGTGTGCGCACACACACGCACAGACACGTGCGCACACAGACACACGCACAGACACGTGCGCGCACTCGCTCTCACCCCTTCATGGCGTTGCGGTTGGCCTCCAGGCCGATGCCGCGGGCCCAGGCGGAGATGGCGCGCCTGATGGCTCCGGCCTGCGCCCCCGTGGCGCGCATCGCCTCCATCATCTTCTCCCAGACGCGCGGCACCCCCAGGAACACCGTGGGCTGCACCTCCTTCAGCGTGCCCACCAGCGAGCCCTGTCGGCGGGACGCACCAAAGACAAAGATCCACCGTGTAGCCTTACGGACCTGTTGGGGCAAGTGCTGTCAGTGGGGGTAGGTGGGTGTGGGGGTGGGTGTGTGTGGGGGTTTGTGGGGGTGTGTGGGGGTAGGGGTGTGTGGGGGTGGTGGGGTGGGTTGGTGTGGGGGTGGGGGTCGGGGGGTAGGTGTGGGTGGGTTGGTGTGGGGGTCGGGCGGTAGGTGGGTGGGTTGGTGTGGGGGTCAGGGTGGGGGTGGGGGGTGGGTGGGTAGATGGGTTGGGGGTACGGGAGTGGGTGGGTGGGTTCAGGGTGGGTTAGGTGGGTGGGTGGGTAGGTGGGTGGGTGGGTGGGTAGGTGGGTGGGTGGGTGGGTAGGTGGATGGGTGGGTTAGGTGGGTGGGTACGTGGGTGGATGGGTACGTGGGTGGGTGAGTGGGTTAGGTGGGTGGGTGGGTGGGTGGGTAGGGTGGGTGGGTGAGTGGGTAGGTGGGTGGGTGAGTGGGTGGGTGGGTGGGTGGGGGGACGAACCTTGAGCGCGTCAGGCTGTGCGAAGTAGACGGCGCCGCACTGCTGCATGGGCACCCACAGGTCCAGCATCTGCGCCGCCACGTGGCTCAGCGGCAGGTAGCTCACCGTGATGTCCTCCGGCGTGAAGCCCGTCATCTCGCTCGCCACGCGCGACGTCCACGTGAGCTGCGACGCACAAACGGGGGCGGCGGTGGGGGGCGGGAGGCGATAAACAGACGATCGCGCGTGAGCGCGGTGGCTAAGAGATGTTGACTACCTCGCCTGGTGTACAGGAGGTCGTGGGTTCGATCCTGACCCTGACGCCTGCTGCACATTTGGAGTTCGCGTGTCTCTCTCACGGAGCTTCGTGTGGAGCGACAGGCCAGGTATCTTTCACAAAGTGTTATGCAGCTGATGAAAAGAGAATGTCACTCGACTGATTGGGAGTGAGACCTCTGCTACCAAACCGGAGCTGGTCATGACAAAGACACATGCACACAGATGCAGGTGTTCTCACACATGCACACGCGTTTACAGACCAACAAAGACAAACACACAAAGACAAAAGATACCCCGCATAGCCTTAGCAGACTACTAGGACAATTGCACCTATGAAGGATGGCACGGCACACGAGGGGTAAATGACCAGGACCACGTCCGGCCGCCTTTTTCTCCCTAGTACACAATGCGCACAGGTACTCATTTGAGGCCGAGTCGACCTAGGGGAGGCCCAGATAATCGTCGCTCATGATGACCGCGAGCGAGAATTTAACTCAAATGGCTGCTACGCCACCGCTTTCCATACACACACACGCGCACAGACACACAAGCACGCACAGACACACACACAAGCACACACATGCACACACACGCGCAGACACACAACAACAACAACCGCCATTCGCTTCACGAACTACGTGGTCGAAAAAGATGTTAAATAATGTGGGAGCCAGAGGACATCCCTGTCACACCCCAAGGTGTACAGGGAAAGGCTCCGACTTCCGGCCACGTAGTTTTACCCGGGCCCGCTCACCATCATGAAGGTTCCTTAATGATCGTGAGCAGAGGGTCAGGGATTCCAAAAGCACAAAGAACAACCCAGTGCCCAGGCCTACTGATGGTATCATAGGTCTTTACCAGGTCAAAAAAGCAGAGATGTAGGTCTTGTTGGA